TTGGTTTTATACATATGATAAGTCTTTATCTTCAAGTAATTGAGTATTATAAAAGCTATAAATATGTATATTCCCTCGTGCATCTATGTATATATTCGAATGTGTTAAATTTAATTTATCATTATATATAATTTATCTAAAATTATCGCCATTTCTTTTTATTAATTTTTTAAATCTAATTTAAGAAAATGTATTGTGACAAATAACGTAAAATGTAAAATGTTCTAATTATTTCCTGCTAGATGTCGCCACTTGCTCTATACTCATCGTGATATTTTTCGAATCGGTTCTCGCACGTAATACCTGCGCTTAATTAAATTTATCAGATGAGCGTGGCGTTTGTTATTAGTTTGTTTATCAAAATTACTGATTTTAACATATAGATCAAATAGAATTGATATTCAATCCTCATGCATTTATTTGAATAAATTTTTAATTTAAACGAAGTAAGGATTATACTCTGGAAGAATAATTAGAGTACTACGTTACCGATATTTTACAAGTAATACGATTTCTGTTTTGTCGATAATTTTTTAAAAGGATTGTACACATTTATATACAAACACATCAATTCATTATTTGAAAAGTTGCTTCAAAATGTTTCATATATAATATAAAAGAATTAATCTTAAATACTGTATCATCTTAAATAAAATCAAGCTTCACAATTATAGAAAACTAATAAAATTTCATTTAATTCAAAATAAATTTTAACAGAAATTTTAGAATTATCATTCTTTCCATCAATATTACATGAGAAATTTATTCTTTACCTAATAACATTTTTCGAAAATTTTTATTCTTATTTATTGTCAAAAATAGCGCATAGTAGTTACTTACGTTTGAATATTTGAAATATCTAATGCAACAAATACCACGAAAAATTTGGAAATTAATAGAGATATTTAACAATAAAACATTTGACAATAAGAGACAACATTGAGATTTTTTTATATTACAAGAGTAAAGTATTATATTAAAATAATATATAAATATTTATTAAAATTAGAAGAATGAGATATTAAATATATAATACAAATATACAAATAAAAACTATATTAAATACATATTTATCAAGTTCAAAATTTACATCGTGATCCTATTGATTGTAGGATACGAGGCGTAGGGGTAATAGATTCAGGTAATAGATTTGTAAATATAGGATTAGTGGCTGACAGCGAATAAATTCCTTTAGTCTGGAGACACGGTAGTATCTCGGCGCTAAGCCAAGTTTCTATTACCTCGTTAATAAAGGACCGGATAAGTACCTGTTTTTACAATAATTACTACAATGCAGGACCTTTTAAGTATAGTTTATAATTTTTGTAGCAAAGAATTGGACACACGCAGTTATTAATATTATAGAAAATTTGTCACGATATCTAATTGCACATAAACTGCAGTTAATGCAGTTCGATGGATGTTTTGAAAAATATAAAGATAGATTTACAAAAGAAATGATTTATTCGTTTCAGCTGCTCTACGTTGGAGAGAAAAGAAGAGAAGATGAATGGTGCAAATTCATAAATATGAAATTGATAAAAAGCAGACCTAAAATCTAAGGAAAAAACCCTCAAAGATACTTAGTGAAAAGATAAATAAACGGACAAAATACCAATAAAAGAAGAACAGTTGCTAATTATTATTTCTTCAACGATCGAATTCTATTCATTTCTTTAGATTTCATCTAATTCATTTCATTACTTCACTTGAAACTCCAAAAAGTATTACTTTTTACGCAATTATATTGTATTTTAACGTGGAAAGAACGGTTTTGCTGTCTAAAAGTTTAGGTACAGATGAAAATAATTTTGTTGAACTATACATATAAACGCTAGAATGTCAATTCTTTGCAGCATTGCTCATATTATATACTTGAAATTTCTTACATAATTATTTTCATTATCCAACAAAATTATCTTTAGATCTGTACCTACTTAAATTTTTATAGCAAAATCATTCAACAGAATCGTTCTTTCCGTGAAAGAGATAAAACATGAGAAAGTATTATCCTGCGCATAATGGAGGGAATATTATATAAAAATAGGAATAAATTAAGAGTTTAACCTATCCAAAAAAACCATCCATTCTGATAATCAGTTTTCTGGTAATCAGTTTTTGATAGGTTGAAATCTTAATAAGTATTTATGCGCGTATTCATACGCCTATTTAAGACTTCCTTAAATTTATCTTCAGATGCTCTACGAATTATTTCATTAAACTACTGAGCATCTAGAGATAAATTTAAGGGACTCTTATATAAGTACAAGGTCTAACTATGAACACGGGCGATTATTTTTCTGCCGTACGTATTCGCTGACACACAACACGTACACGAATGTGCGCATCCTCGCTGATTATTCGCAATAAAAATAATACGGTCTACGCGCGCGCGCGCGCGCGCGCGGATTTTCCTCTACGCACTTTACGCGCGTGCCACTGCGTATAACGTGGTATAACGTGCGTTTCATCAATCGTGTTTACGACGATCCAATCTCCTGAGAGAAGGAGCCTCATCAGTGAGGCGTGCGCGTGAATTCAGACACACTCTCACGAGCGGGCGGTACGCCTGCTAATTGCAGCCGGGGCTAATTGATTACGGGGCGGCCGTTTTACGATGTTTGGCGAACATGTCATCTCGCGAGCCGTCTGGCTTGCGCATGTACGACGGCGACGCTACATGGGTGGAGCTCGTGAACGGGCGTCGCGATGTCGACGTCCGGGGCTTCCACGAGTGTCTAAACCGGGGTTGCGGAGGATCGATCAGGGGAGAGTCTCTCCAGGAAGCGCGATGTTCTCGGAGGCCTCTCGTTCCACCACACTTGCTCGAAGCGACGACTCGTTATTTATTCGGACAGCGCGACTTATTTAACGTTCATTCGACGCATATACACACGCACTCCCGATGTTTATTCGGCACACATATTTATTCAATGCTTCACAACGGCGTTTATACCGATTGCTGTACCAATAACGATCGATATCGATCGGAA